AAGAAAGAAAGAAAGAAAGAAAGAAAGAAAGAAAGAAAGAAAGAAAAAAGAAAGAAAGAAAGAAAGAAAGAAAGAAAGAAAGAAAGAAAGAAAGCGAAGTGGCCATGTCCCCCAGGCTGGACAGCCACCTGCAGCGTGACCCCACAGGTCCACTCTAAACACACTTGGAAAATGGTGCAGAACCTGGGTGGCTTTATCAGTACTCTCTGCAAGGGCCGGAAATGTGGACATTCACAGATAGCCAGTGACAGGAGAAATGAGCAAATCCATAGTAACACAGTCACCAATGGAAAGATTATTTTTTCTCCCAGGGACCTATGAGTTTGTCTGGAAAGTTTGTCCCATTGTAGCAGCCCACATGTGTACTCGGCCTGGGGTGGCAGTGAAGGAATGGGGGGCGGGCTGTCACGGAGCAGTCAAATTTTCCCAAGGGAAATTCTCTGCATGAAACTCTGCTTCCCAGAAATCTGCCCCCATCCCAGCAAGGGAATTTACATAAAGATGAGACTGGAGCCTTTGGTGCTATCGGGCAAAGAGCAAGTAAGTGGAGGGCCACGCCCCTCCAGGCCTGGCCAGTGCAAGTACGGAGCTCGAGCCTCTGGCCCACCCGAGGGAACCCCCGAAAAGCGGAGGTCTCACCCTATGTTAAGCCCGTCAGGAAAGACTAAAGTCCACTGCCCCCAAGGTGGTCTCAAGATTCTTTTGGTCGCTCCACAAGATGACTGAACTGCTCCGTGAATCTCAATTCCCACCAAAGACCCCTGCCTTGGGACTGTGCCTGCCCCTCCGGTGATCCCCCAGAATCTCCCTCAGCTGTTTGTGGGTACCTGCTCGTGGGCTTCTGGCCATAGCAAAGCGGGGGCTTTGACCCTAGTGCTGCTGCCGTGCAGCCCCGCGTCTTACCGCCAGGGGGCGCAATGGATATCTCATCGGCAAAAGGCAATTGCAAAACGCTTAACGTCAGGCCCTGTGTTAGGAGCTTCAAGACTATTTGCAAACTCTGCAGTACAAAGCTTATAAGTATATGTTACTTCACAGATCGAGAAATTATGCCTCAAAACAATGCCGCCACCGTGAACCTGCCAGTCTTCTAGGAGCATCCCATTACCCCCTATAAACCTGTTTTCCCAGCTTGACAATGGGACAAAATAATCCCTGGTCTTCCAGGGCTGCTGGAAAACCCTGAAAGGGTGATTCACGGGGCACCAAAGACACCTGGGTCGTGGCAGCGTTGGCTCTAGAGGGGCGCAGAGTGCGAGATCGCCTGCGGGGCCGGCAGCGCAGCGATCCAGTGGAGCTCGCTCCTGAGCCTGGCAGTTTGCCGCGGGAATAACTGCATGCACTCCTGCGCCCTGGGGGGACTTCCCCCTGCTCACCTTGATTGGGGGATGAAACTCCCAACCTGAAAGCTGCCGGCGCCGAGTGCGTGTTCTCTAAAATCGAAGAATGGATTTTAGGAACAACACAGGTTAAGAGTAGAATATACTTACTGGGGG